GTTCAGGTCGCGTCAAGTAATAGAAGAGAGTGTGAGACGGAAAGACATGGCCACGCAGCTGGGACGGGCGGACGCACCATGGACTCCGCGTGGCACTGCGCCTGGAACGCCTCCTGCGCGATGCGGAACTTGTCCGTACCCGTGGCTGTGGCATCCTTGTAGTCCGCGCCGTTGCTGGCGCGGAGCATGATGGCAACTCAGAACAGGAGCGCCTAGTTTCCGGTAAACGGCGATCGCAGAGTGTATCCCGCCTCCAGTGTCGAAGTGACCACGCGGAAGCGTGGCGAACGGTTCCTGCATCTCGAAGCTGCTGCCGCCTTTCGAGATCTGGGGCGTAAGCTTGTGCTTTGCTAGCATGTCGCCGCCGAGTGTGTAGGCCACGAGCAGCGAAGCGTGTCACATTGGCCAGATCTTGGCCGATGGCGATGAAGCCGCCAGCGTATGTCACTTGTAAGTAGGTCTCGAGGCCCTTGCTCATTCGAGATCATGGGCAGCTTTTGCGCTGAGTGCATAAGCCATGATTCTGGGCAGCCATGTAAGCACTCGTCAGAGAGGAAGGCGCCGAATTCAAGCAACTCACCGTTCAATGCTGGAAAACGTGGTACCGGCGGGAACAGTTCGTCGAGAAAGGTGCACGGGGGGGACGGAGGAGATCACATCCTGGCGCTTGGCCGATAGGCCGCGGGGGCAGGTCCCTCGAGGTGATCGGAGCGGAGGAGATGGCCGTCGACCTATTCACGCTTGTGGGTGAACCGGATAGTCGCGCGAGGCAACAGCAGAAGAGCAAAGAAAGCAGCGTAGCAGAACAAGAAAACATCCGGGGACAAGGCAGTGAGACGCGCAGAAAGACGGCAATGCCCGCATTTAGGCGCGCGTTTGCCGCTGCCAGCTGGCGCAGGCCCTCCCGCTGTTGCCTTCGTGCACCGCTCAACATGGGGGCACCACGGCAGCGTTGTATTGCAAAAGGGAACAAGCAGCTGGGGATGTTCTGGGTTACGCCGAACGTTGGCCGGCTGCACCGTGTCGTGGGACACGGGTTCCCGAAGCTCTACTCGCGACGCGTGGCCGCCTCATGGTACCTCACGGGAACACCAGGAATCCGCCCCGGTTCTCACCACCTACCGAATCCCCCAGAGCATCGCACAACCTTCGACGTGGAGCTGGCAGCGAGGTCCGTTTTCTCCCTCAGCTATCGCTGCACTCCAGAATTGACGGCCTTTCTAGGAATACCAGCACCAGCTTGCCCTCTAGGGGATCAAGGACGGCCGCATACGCCGGCCACTGTCCCGACCCGTCATCCTCTACCGCGTCCTCCTCCGCTCCGTCTGGGCGCACATCCTCCCTGCTCTTGCTCCCCGTCTTCGCCACCACCGTCATCGCCGCGCACCAGTTCGAGTGAACCGGCCCCGTCTGGGCCACGTACGGCGAGATCGCGCCGTACAAACTCACGTACGGCTTCCTCTCCAGGCTCTGCATCTGGCTCCTCGCCACGCTCTGTTTCGCCCCGCTCACCGCCGTGCTGGTCCCCGTGATGGTGCGGCTCGGCCTGCGCTGGATGGAGAACCGGAGCCCACCCACACAAAAGGCGCAACAGCTTCCAGTAAGGGCAAGAGAGAGAGGGCGCACAGCCAGAAATTGCAGACAGGATTACCGCCCTCAGGCGCAAGCAAGCGTACGTATCCGCTCCTCCTCGTATCCACACGTACTCACCCTCTCCACGTACCTCAGTACCGCGGTCCCTCACGCAAGGCCAGAGCGGCCTTCACAACCCTCCACTTCCTCTCCGAGATTGTCTACCGCGCGTCCATCCTCGCCACGGAAGTCGCACGCGCCTCCCGTTTCACATCCAAACATCATCGTGCCGGAGGCTTCCCCATTGCACATGGAAGCTGACGCAGACGGCTTCTCGCGTCGCCTCAAGATCTCCCCTCATCCCCCGTGCTGCGCATGCGCGACCTGCTGCGAACGGCAGTCTGTCACAGTTTTCTCGTGCCACGTGACCTGAGGGTCATGTGTACTGGGACAGACGCTCACCTTGACCGCGGACAACTCGTATCGGAAAGTGGAGGGGCCAGGATCGAACCCCAGACCTCGTGACGGCCAGGAGCGCCCATCCTCACTCACAGGCAGGTGACTGAT